ATGTCAATTTAATTATATTTAATACATGTAAAGTGGACCTTTTATATTGACTTCATTAATATATATACAGAACTGTATTGGAGCTATCGATGGCACTCATATTCCAATGACTATTCCTGTTGCAAAACAAGAACCATATAGAAATAGAAAGCAAGGTCTATCACAGAACATGATGGTTGCATGTGACTTCGATCTAAAATTTGTGCATGTCCATGCCGGTTGGGAGGGGTCTGCTTCTGATGTAAGAGTTCTACAGGATGCACTTAACCATGGATTTAGTGTCCCCCTAGTAAATTCTACCTTGTAGATGCAGGCTATGCAAATACACCATAATTTCTTTCTCCATACCGTGGGACTAGATATCACTTACAAGAACAAGGAAGAGCAGGTCAAAAACCACAAAATCCAAAGGAATTATTCAACCTTCGGCATGCACAACTACGGAATCATATAGAGAGAGCTATTGGTGTATTTAAAATGAGGTACCCTATACTAAAAGCTGCTTCAGCATATGACATAGAGACACAGGTTGATATCTCTGTAGCTTGTTGTTTAACACACAATTTCATTCGGTTACACAATGGAGATGCTAGTTTGGTACATGGTGCTACCACAAATATCAATCAAAGCAACATGACTGATGTACCAGAAGGAGATGACCAATACAGTAATGATGTGCCGGCATTTAACAACTTGCGACAAGCTGGAAATGAGATGCGAGATCACATAGCAAACATGATGTGGGAAGATTACATTGCAAGACGTACAGTTCAGCAATAATAATGTTCTACAATGTAACTTAACATTCCTAGGCATTAGAATACCTAGTTAGCTTGTACTACAGTTCAGTACTTTACAAAAGACAGTGACAGGTACTGTAAACTAATCACTACAAGATGCTAATCCTAAACATCCCTATGCATTAGCATACCTAGTTAGCTTGTACTGAAATTTCTTGGTAATTATCAGTACTGCAGTTTAGTACTTTACAAAAGACAGTGACAGGTACTGTAAACCGGTCACTACAGGATGCTAATCCTAATCATGTGAGCATATATGCACATGAACCAAAAGTGTACCAAAATATCAGTTTGCTTAGGTAATCTAAATTTGTCTAAGCAACCATCCTACTCATAATGCATCATAACCAAATGAGAGAAAAACTTCCCTGTTTGACGGATTGTCTTTGAAGATGTCTGCTGCTTTTAGCATATCTCCAGTTTGTAGCTCACTAAGCCCCTCAAGTACAGTGATGCATTTCTTGATACTGAAAGGATCATCTAGCTTCTTCTCCTCTATGGCAGCGAATCGTTCAATCTCTTCTTTTTTCAGCTTCAAGTACTTCTCATGAAAATGTTCAGTTGTAATAGTGTGCTTGGTCTTTTGCCTTTTATCACGCTTACCATCAACTGCCTCCGGAGTTGAACTAGATGGCCGGGCACTGTGACAAAGAGTTTCTTCAAATTGTTCAGGAACATGTGGTGCTATATTTATGGAAGATGGTCCATCTGGTGTTTCTTGAGGCGGGGAAGTTCCCAATGGAGTAAATGCATCATTACCAAACCAATTAGTATCATCCCTGTCCTCTTCAATATCAAAACTAAAAGAACCAGGAGCAGGTATACTAGCTGAAGGTGACTGCAGGTGCACATCAGGAGAAACTTGTGAAGGCGATATTGCCTTATTGGCATAATGATTCATACCACGACAACTTCTTCCTTCGGCATGACGCCCTGTAAAAATTATGACAATATTTTAGAGTGGTCGTAAGTACTGTAATCACATCCAGTGAAAATAATAACTAATCAGGCTCATATCAACTCACCATCATATAAAGCAAACATATCATCATAGTACGGAAATGACTTGTCTCGCCAAAACAGAGAGTCCTTATTCTTGCATGCCTCCATTGCTGCCCAAACATCTGGTGGTGCCGTCACTATCATTCTATCGGAATCTCAGCCAAAACCACTTTCTGCCACCAAATCTTTTATGGTACGAAATTCTTTTGTCATATCCTGCTCCTTTTGTTTCACTTGTCCAATAGAGAACGATAAAGAAAAATTCTGATTGAACTGAGCCACAATACTAGTCCAAGCATCCTTACTCCATGCATTGTGTGTCCGAAATCTAGGCACATCATGGATTTTTAAGAGTTCAATAAGATATAGCCTCCTCTGGTGATTCCACTTAGCTCTATTCTTTGAGGTGCCTATGACAAACATGATGAAAATTCTAGTTTTAAAATAAGTTAAATAACAGATATTAGAGATCCTACCAGGAGAAAAAAAATCTAGAGGCATAATATACAAAACGTAAGTGTTATCTCCTTGTGCTAACTGCTATAAAAGTAACTGGAGAGAGTGCTTCCTAGTTACAAGCACACAAAAATAACATCTATTACAGAAACTTAGGGAAAAGATAAAAGGACTCCATAGATCAGATCTTTAAATAGAACATGTGTTGCCGGATCCACAAATTCGGATCCAGATCCAAAACAAGGGCAAAATAAAACTACTTTTGAAGGGGAAGCAAGCCACCGGAATTCTGGAAAGGACCTATATGTACAACAATAATAATCGATGGAACACAGGCTGACAAAAACAAAAAGGGCAAGACAGCAACCCATGCACAATAAAAGTAGTTGAAAGGCACAGAGCAAGCAGGCAAGTAGTAGTCCTAGGCACGGCCGTGGAATGAACCCCCTTCTCTCCTGGCGACACTACATGGAGTTGCATCAAATGCTACCTGGTTCGTGGATTTCTTGACTTCCCCCAGATTGGTGGACATCAAGCCCCTGCACCGATGGAGTTGCAGGGAGAGACGAAGCGGGGAGAGGGGGATTTCGTGGGGATGGGCCGATTCGCTGCTGCTGGTTTGCCATCTCCGCCTGTTCGTGCCAAATTTCTCTAGGGTTCAATCACCATGGAGGGAGGGAGGAGTCAGAGAGAGAGAGGCGACGGAGAAAATGAGAGAGAAGCTTTCCCATGGGTCACGGTGCATGTTTTATTTCCCGTGAAACACACGTAGCTGGAAGCCTTTCCTCCGGAACGGAAACTACGAATCCTATGTTCCAAACGCAGTCACATGTTTTCTTTCCAGAGGAATGAAATCCTCCAAAATTCCTATAAAAAAACTATGTTCCAAACATGCCCCTACTTGTTGTTCTTAGAGCCTGTTTGGCTGGGCTCTCCCCAGCTCTGGCTCTGGTACTGTAGCGCGGAGCTGGGGGAGCCAGCGAAACGCAGCTCTGCCTGCTCGTCTCTTGTGCTAAGGAGGGGGTGGAGCCTTTTTATCGCAGCTATAGTAGAGCACAGTGCAGTGGGAGCCGGAGCCGCTGGGCAAGGAGCCCTGCCAAAGACTGCCTTAAAATAATAAATGTTGTTGTTGCGCCTGCCAGCCCGGCTCCGCCTGCTGCTCGTGCATCAACACTGTCCCCATCCCCCATACACATGCGCCCCACGCGCACATGCATTCAGGTTGTGTTTAGTTCGCGAAATTTGGGAATTTGGCTACAGTAGCACTTTCGTTTTTATTTGGCAATTATTGTTCAATCATGGACTAATTAGGCTTAAAACGTTCGTCTCTTTCAACCAAACTGTGCAATTAGTTTTTTTTCGTCTACATTTAATGCTCCATGCACGTATCGCAAGATTCGATGTGATGGCTACTGTAACACTTTTTAAAAAAAGTTTTTGGGAACTAAACACAACCTCAATGGAATGAACGCCCAGGCCAGAACTAGGATCCGTACACATGCGCCCCCTGCTGCGGTACGCGTGCACGTGGGGGATGTCGCGCACGCGGGACTGCTGCACTCGAGGGGATCACCTCCCCTTGCGCCCCCCCCTCCCTCACACATGGAACACTCACAACATAAAGTATTTGCTACAACATACATTCGAAACAGATGAAACAATTACAACATACGCGTACAACATGTGTATGGTCACTGCAACATATGCGACATGATAAAACACGTGCAACATACGTTTGAAACCGTTAAAACATTTGAAACATATACCTGCAACATACGTGTATAGCCAATGCAACATGTGCAACATCCACATAAAACACTTACAGAGAAACAGTTGAAACCTTTGAAACATACACTTGCAAGATACGTGTATAGTCATTGCAACATAGCAACATCAGATCTACTTTTGCAACATTCAGATGAAATATACGGTTGCAACATGTGCTCATCTACTTGTTGCCCCCAATGGACGCTTGTTGACGCTGAGCTTGACGTCAGCACGGAGCTCGAGGTCGCCCACGGTTGACAGACGGATGGAACGCGGCCACGACGGGAGGCGTGGGCAGGGGCACACGACGCGAGGCGCGAGCGGGCGGCGCGTGGCACGGGCGAGGGTCCGTGGCGCGAGACGCGAGACGCGGGGCAGGAAGGTCGATCCGTCCGAAAAGGACGGACGCCCTGAGTGTATCATTATCGAAAACTTATCCATATGTGTGAGGTTGTGGTTCTAAACAGTTGGTGAAGGGTGTGTATTGTCCAATACTACTGGCGAAGGTTGAAAATGGGACTTTAACAAGTAAATGCCTGTGTAAAGTAAACTTTACCCTCTATAAAAGCATAGCAGTCATGCAATGAAGAATTCCATTATGCAAAGCTTCACACATTCTCATTATTCGCTAAAAAAACATTGATTCTACCCCATCCACGTTCAGAAACAAAACATTGCCGGCTACAAAGACAAAATAGCCAAGAGAGGAGGATCAAATTCCTGAGGACGGCCATATACAACCGTCGCTCCTATCTAAAACATTTTTTCCCAAAAACTGTGAGCGCATCCGAGGGATCAATTCTCTTGTTTCTACTCGTTCGTTTGGGGCAGTTTGACATCAGGATTCATTCCTGCTGATGAAATCTTATACAAATAAACTAACGATTCCGGCCGGGAATCGTTCCTGGCGGTGATTCAGGGGGAAACGAACGGGCCCTAAAGAGAAACAAAAGTGGCAGAACGTCTCCTCCGAAATCACACGGCGTTGGGGCCGGTGGGGATGGGCTGGTACCCATCGTGGCGGTCAGACGAGACACCACTGCCGGAATCGACAGGGATGAGCTTCAGGACGGCGCCGATCACCAGGCTGACCGAGCCGATGAGCACGCTGGCGAGCCAGAGCCTCCCGCTGAGGTGCACCGTGCTCGCGAAAGTCCCCAGGAGCTCCACGATGATCACCTGGAACGCGGCGGTGGCGCTGGCGACCGCCGAGAAGATCCAGCTGCTGAAGATGCCGCTGAACACGTTGATCTTCTCCATCTCCCGGCTGTTCACCTCGTTGAAGACCTGTAGATTCAGAGAGCGTGGATGATGAAATCAGTCGCCTAAAAAATTCAGACTTTGCTATATATAAGCTAGGGTCGCTTCTGTACTGACCTGGCAGAACACGAAGGTGTTGAATATGAACGTGTTGAGCTGGGTGTCGGAGAGATCGCCGACGCCGTTCAGCCGGAGGAGGCTCTTGCCCTTGAAGATGAGGACGCCGAGCACGGCGAGCTGGTAGATGCTCTGGCCGACGATGTTCCGCCACATCACCTTGGTGATGAAGTTGTCGCCTCGGCCGACCGGCGGCCGCTGCATCATCGTGTCGTTCGGGGGCTCCGTCGCCAGCGCCAGGGCGCCCAGGGTGTCCATGATCAGGTTCACCCACAGCAGTTGCACGATCGTCAGAGGGGCGCTTCCTGAATCATTGATTTGTTCATCAGTCGTGTGTCACCCTGAGAGCTCGGCTATCTGACGAGAAAATGAGGAATGAGGAATGGCTGCATGCGCACCTGTGAAGGATGCAGAGACGAAGTTCACCATCAGGGCGACGACGTTCACCGTGAGCTGGAACTGCACGAACTTCTGGATGTTGATGTAGACCGACCGGCCCCATTTGGCGACGTTGATGATGGTCGAGAAGTTGTCGTCCATGATGATCACGTCGGCGTTCTCCTTGGCAACCTGACCAGCAGTTGCAGACGCGAAGCAGTTTGAGAAATTATTGGTCAAGTGATATGAACAAGGGTACTACTACTGCTACAAACCTCTGTTCCTGCAATGCCCATGGCTAGGCCGATGTCGGCCTCGTGCAACGCCGGCGCGTCATTGGTGCCATCGCCGGTCACCGCCACCACCTCGTTGAACATGCCCCTCAGGTTCGTCACCAGCGTGTGCTTGTCCAGTGGCAACGACCGAGCCATCACCTGCAGACACAGACGACAGACCAATCGCATCAGTTTCCACCATGCAAAAAGAAAAATTCACTCTTCAGAGAAGAAGAGAATGTACTCCAGCTACGTGCCTGGATTTTGGGTATGAGCTCTCTCATCTCGTTGGGGCTCTTGGCCCGGAACTCGGGGCCCTCGATGGCGATGCCGTCGTCAGTGAGGATGCCGCACTCCCTCGCGATCGCCTTAGCAGTGTTGATGTTGTCGCCGGTGACCATGCGGACGTTGATGCCCGCGTCATGGCACGTCTTCACGGCCTCCCTCACGCCAGGACGGAGCGGGTCCTTGATGCCGAACACCGCGATGAGCGTGTACCCGTCGCCAGGGACGTCGCTGGCCCCGCCGACGTCCTGGTACGCCAGGCAGAGCGTGCGCAGCGCCTCGCACGCAAATGCATCAATGGCGCTGGCCACGCGCTTCGCCTTCGCGTCCGTGAGCTTCTCCACGCTGCCAGTGCCGTCGATGACGGAGCTGCACCGGCTCAGGACCACCTCGGACGCGCCCTTGAGGAACGCGCGCGGGTGGCCGGCGGCGTTCGGGGACGCGATAACCACAGCCATGGTCTTCTTCACCGAGTTGAACGGCTCCACCTTGAGCTTCTTGGCGCCGGCGTGCTCCACCTTGGTGTACTTCTCCACCTCGAGGCCGAACTCCAGGATGGCCGTCTCGGTGGGCGTGCCCATGACGCTAGTCCTTCCGTCCTTACTCGTGACGACCTCCGAGCCGGAGCAGTGGAAGACGCCCTCTAGCAGCACCCTCGTGAAGTTCTCCGACACCGACGACCGGAGCTCGTCAAAGCCCTTGGCGATGCTCACCGTCTGCGCCGCCCCGGACGCCCAGACCTTCTCGACGACCATGTGGTTGGTGGTGAGCGTGCCGGTCTTGTCCGTGCAGATGCAGCTCGCCGACCCCATGGTCTCGCACGCCGAGAGGTGCCTGACGAGCGCGCGCTCCTGCATGAGCTTCTTCATGGCGAACGCCAGGCTGAGCGTGACGGCGAGCGGCAGCCCCTCGGGCACGGCGACGACGACGATGGTGACGGCGACGGCGAAGAAGTTGAGCACCGAGAGCGCGTCCGCTCCCCTCCACTGCAGCAGCCCGCCGGGCGCGTGCGCCTTGCCCACCAGGAACCGCGCCATGAGCACAGTGAACGTGAGCACCGCGAACGCCAGCCCGATCTTGCCGATGATAGTGGCGACGCCGTTGAGCTTGACCTGCAGCGGCGTCTCGTCCTCGCCGCCCTGGCTCAGCGTCTCCATCAGGTTCCCCCACTCCGTGCGCATCCCGACCGCGGTCACCAGCATCCGCGCCGACCCGTCCTGCACCTTGGTCCCGCCGAGCAGGAACGGGTTGGCGTTGGACAGGTGCACCGGCTCGCTCTCGCCGGACAGGCTGGACTCGTCGACCACGAGCGAGTAGCCGTCGATGTACAGGCCGTCCGCCGGCACCTGGTCGCCGATGGAGAGGTGGACAATGTCCCCGACGACGATGTCGTAGATGGACACCTTCTGCCGGTAGCCGTCGCGGGTGACCTGCATGTCGATCTTCTTCTTCTCCCTGTCCAGGTCCCGGAACTGCAGCGACTGTTTGTAGTCGCTGGCCGCGGTGATCATGACCACGAGGAAGACGGTGAGCATGATGCCGAGGCCGTCGTACATCCCGCTGGGCCACCCCTCGGTGGCGAGCCCGATGACGACAGAGATGAACGCGCAGAAGGCGAGCAGCAGGAGCGTCATGTCCTGGCTGGCGTCCCAGAGGAACATCCAGAACGTCCTCGGCGGCTTCTCGGTGTACTTGTTGGCGCCGTAGACCTCGGCCCGGAAGCCCGCCTCGTCCGACTTGACGCCGTCGGCGAGGGAGACGTTCACCTTCCGCGCGATGCCGTCGACGCCCCTGTGGTGCCTCAGGCTCTTGCCGTCGTGGGTGCGCACCACGGTGGCCAGCTCCTCCGCACTCACGGAGAAGCCGCATTGCCGCGCCATCTCCGGCAACGGGTGCTCCGTCTTGCGGGCGGCTACACATGATTCCATGCCAGCATCGACAATTGTTAGCAGCAGATTGACGTTGATCCACCCAACACGAAACTGAATGCAGTGATTAGAAGAGAGGATGAGCTAGTGTCGTGTACCATCGATGAACTGCAGCGCAGCCTTCTGCACGTAGAGTGCAACACGAAGCTTCTCCTGTGAATCAGAAAGAAACATTCTCAGTACTTTGGGCTGGGTGTGAACAAAAGGCAACATGCTAATTGATTGAGAAGGTAATTACATTGGTAAAAAAGGTTAATTGTTCTGTTGTGCTTCTTTAATGTGAATCAGTAAAACGTCATTCAATCAGTAGCATTGAGAGGAACTTTTACCGAACATATTCGTTCAAGTACTTCCTTTTCATATTCATGTAAGTTTGGCTAATAAATTGAGCTAAAAATAAACATTACATGAAGCTTTACCTTTTGTCTGCTTATTAGGCTTTACAAAATTACTTACAGATAATTATAAAAGGACACTTTGACAACAATCAATTGATTTATTATGTTCTCACTTCAGAAATATCATATAAAGTTTTTTTTCATTTATATATTATAACCATGATGCGCACGCATACAGATAGAACAAGACATAGCAGTCCTATTAGTTAGTCTTCAGAAATTGAAAACATGAGTACCTGACAATTAAGCTAGCTTAACTCTATCTCGTAGGTTACTCACAAAAGTAACCGGTAAGACAACCTGTGAAATAACTAACAGAAATTATGGGGCACTTCAAGGACAGAGCATTTGCTGTCGCTGCTTCTGAATTGGACCTTTTCAGCCTGTTCACTTGGTTTCAGCCAGGTCTTATCAGCCAATCGACAGTGTTTTTCTCTCACAATAAACCAGCACCAGCCGGACTTATCAGCCCAGAAACCAACCAACGAACAGGCTCTTTAAGTTGACCATTGACCAACTCGTCAGTCACATAACTTACAGAAGTCAACAAAAATTTAAAAACAGGTACTCTATAGCTGGTCTCGGTGGTTTGATATCATCTTACATTTTATATGTAAAGTGTAATTTTTCGATGTACTTTAAACGCGCACGATTAAATGACCCAAAAAATGTGCAGGTTCGTTTTCTGCAGGAAAAAAAATGACTAGAGCCTCAGCACTTGGGCCATTGACTTATGCGCCAGAAAGAAGCTACTTGACTTATGGGGATGGGGTTCTAGATTGAGTCAAACTTTTAAAATTTTGACTAAATTTATAAAAAAAAAATATTTAAACATATATGACTCTAAATTACATACAAATCTATTTATAAATATTTGATAACATAAGTAGTAGTGTATATATATATATAGCCAGCTACAGAATAACCTATTCTGTAGCCGGGTCCAACCCGCGCGTGCCATGGCGCAACCAGGCACCACATAACAGGCCAATAGGCAGTCCTGCTGGATCGGCTCCCACCCAGCCTACTCACGCACAACAGCTCCGTCACCCGGCTCGGCTCCTTCATCCACGCTCTCGAGCCATAGGGGAGCGCCGCAAATTTCTCTACGACTCGTGAGGCCATGACATCACAAACTCCAAATCATAATCGTGTCCTTCGTTCGCCACCAGACGCTCCGCCGGAGAAGGTCCGTCTCGGCCACATCGCAGCTTCAAATCGGACCTGGCCATCCATGCCAGCGGGGAGAGGATCTTCAGGTGAACACTCCCCATCGATGTGAGCAGAGATAGGATCTCCAGGTAAGCCGCTGTAAAAATCTGCATGACTCATCCAATCTCGAGCAGAGTGCTTTTGGATTAAGAGCAGGTTCCTTTTGGTCTAGTCAGCAAGTAATTGGGAATTCATATGTCGTAGACTCGTAGCCTTGGAGTTGATGCCTTTGGGATGGATCTCGATCATAGCGCGCCTGCAAGACACACCAGTGTTGGACGTGCTAAATAAAAATCTCATGGTAAGATTTTGTCGCAATATGATTTTACTATTACCAGATTAGCTTTTCCCTCGCATTTGCTTAGTGCGTATTGGAGACAACAAGATTGAGCAATCGGATTTCCACTGGTTTGTTATTTCATTAGGATTTCTTCTTGCCGATGACAAGAGATGGATGGGCTTGCTTTCATTGATGGGACCTGGTGTGCAGGTTGGTTTGTTGCTCGTGGGAGATTAGTAGCTTTAAAGCGTCAATCGTAACTCTGGACTTGGATCTCTGCTTGGTTCTCCGCCCCGGCACCCTTCCAATTAAGGGAGCATTTGATCAACGATCCCACGAGCTCGCATCCCCGCCGTGGCCTTCCTTCTCCGCTGTCGCAGAGGAGGCTCGGCACACGCTGGCGGCCCGGCTGGCTTGAACATCGCGCAGCCCAAAGAGACCACCAGCCGCTTAGCTTGGCCATGGCCGCCTCGCCACTCGCGTTCGCCGCCAGCAGTGACCGATAGTGGCGCGCTACTCCAGCGTGCTCCCTGCGGCGTCGACCTCCACCGCGTGACCGACGGGGACCTCCAACGCGTCGACCTCGCCGGCGGCCCTGCGACGCGCTCTCCCTACGGTACCACCACCAGCCCTCTTCCCATGGCAGATCGGAGCAAGGGCTGTTCCACGACGAACCCATGGAGGGGGCGGCCAGTCCGGAGCATCCCGTCGTGGTGTTGACGGCCACCATGGCGGATGTACGACCTGGGCACGGATTTGGTTATCGTAAATAGTTTCTCGTAATTACTGAAGGCATTCTCTAATTATCGTAACCAACTATACAAGTTCTGGTAACTATTATCGTACACGTTCAACCTGGAGGCCACTCCCATCGGATTAGCACAGATTATTCCTTTAGAATATATTATATATATCTGAGTATGGCATCACTGTATACGTATTTCGATTTTCCTTCTAGCATTGTCCCATGAATGCAGTCAACAATGACAATTAGTTCATGGTGGTCTTGACATTATACTATTATAGTAACCGGATGTGGATCTGAACACATGGCACCAATTTTTGTTAATTTCCCAATCTAATTATCATCATCCTGATCAATTCAGATTATTGTTTGTGTTTTTGTAAATTATTAGCCTTGATATTACTGCAAATGGTTACCAGAAACATACTCGAGACCATAAATTGCGGCAACCTCAATCCTGAATTATCGTAAATTTATCATGGCAGATTTGTTTTATTATTATAGTAATCAAATAATCAGGGCATAAAATTGTGGTAACTTCCTACTCAAATTGCAGTCCGAGCAATAAGAATTATGGTAATTCCATAGTTTGCAAGCATTGGTCCAACATGTCCCTATTCAAATTATCATAAATTACCATGGCACATGGGCCTTATTATTATAGTAACCAAATACTTCCTAGCTAGCTGCACTTTGTATTATCGTAACACGTACATGTATACACTTTGGTACCTTTGCACATGGACGCCGCGACGTACACTTGCATTATCGTAATTCAATTTATTATAAATATAAAAAATATAGTATGGTAAATTAGTGTTGTTGTGATAGCAACAAGTTTATCAGAATTTCCTGACATGACGCCAAATTCTAGTAACTACCCATCCTGATTACCGTATCCAGCCATTTAAAATATCCAAATTATTGTATGGTAAATTTTAGTTCGGAATTGCTTGACACCAAACTGTGGTAATTCTACGACCTTGCTAACGTATTCTAGTAACCATGTACTTGCTTGGCATGCACGTACGTGTAGATAATATAATAGCTATGCATGCTTTTTAGGTAGGAAATTAAATCCAGCGGTAATCATGGGCAGGCAGTAACTGTAGGCGTGGACCACCGTAACCGTGTGGCTCAGCACATCGGCTCATTCGGCTCCGCGGCTTCCTGTGTCAGCGGCACGGAACTGGATCGGAAGCACCAGCGGGAGACACTGGTTCGCTGGATTGGCTGGGTACAGAATAAGGTATTCTGTAGCTGGCTACAGAGTAGCCTTTATTTATTTATTTGATCAAAGTTAAAGCTAGAATTTTATCTTTTTTTCTACGGAGATAGTAACTCATATCATATCTGTTATATGCATTGTGACAGAAAAAATTGTTGCTGTGCATCCAGGATACACACAAGATTTGTCTCAGCATATTTTTTGTGAATCATTTTCTGACAACACACGGCAAACACATCTTTGTACTGGTCGTATCATTGACTGTGTACTGGCGTATAACAAACTACTGTTTGTGGCTTAAATACCGACGAAGAAATTGTGCTCTCCTACTATCTCGGTAATTTGTTTGTTATTCGCGGATAAGCACAGCTTGGAGGAACGCTACAGGGGAAAAAAACGCTGGGCCCTAGCCCCATAGGCAGCATGCCATTGCCATCCATGGACATGCATGCATCGGATGAACAAGCCCAGAGATCGGTCAGGAGAATATCAGCACTGCCTTGCGTCGCGGATCGAAATCAGGTGAGCTTAATCACTTGCAATCCAAAAGGAGGAGGAAGAAGAGAACAAATTTAACAATGCGTGCAGGTTCGGCGGACGGGACGGGATGGACGTACGCACCTGAATGTTGCGGCGCTGCGTCTCAACCTGCGAACGCTTGTCGAGGTCGGGGACCATGCGGAAGCGGCGGCGGCGGTTCTTGACGAGCGTGCCGACGGCCTCCCGCCACCGGCGCTGCGCGTCCTCCGACGGGTTCTTGGCCGGCACCTCGAACCGCTTGAGGAACTCCATCGATTTGTTCCGAAGGTACGCCATGATCGACCGTTGGGTCGATCGATCAGTAATATGGCTGGATCGGTCCACGAACTGAACCGAGCCCCCTCCTCCTCCTCTTCTCCTGTCCTACTCGATTTCTTTCAAGCGAAACCAACCAACCAACGGGCTTGGCAATCACGTCTGCAACTCCATGGCCATCTCCGTCTCCGTCTCTCTCCCGGAGCTCGATCAGTGGGCGTGGGCGTGCGCGCGTCGATCTCCCCCTCTGGTTTGGTTCGCGCTGCCGTAGGTGGAGGGGCAGGCAATGGTGATGGATGGGAGCAGAGCAGAGCGCGGGGTAAGTACCGACCCAAACCACCTGCCGCGGAGTCCGGGTCGGAGGGGAGGGAGGGAGGGAGCTCGCAGCAGCTTTGGCCTTTGACGGAATCACAACCGTAACAACCTCTAGTTCCACGCTGAATCTCCGTCCCTGGATAAATATAGCACTTTGCCATGTTTATTTATTTTATTAATATATTTATTACAATAATAACTTTTGGGAGGAAAAAAACAATGCAGGGAGTCTGTGTGGCAGAACTAGAGGGGCTAGCAGGGCCAAGCAAGAAATTTTTATTACACACATCCATATAAATATTGAATCTGTCTAGACTACACCCGAGTGTTTTAGACCCAAAACACTTGATTTTATTTCACACATCCTCCCCACGCACCGCCTTTTGCGACCTCCTCCTTTCCCTCTCCACCCCCACCGCCATGGCCATGGTCGCCTCCGCCCCAACTTGGTCCGGACATCTCCTCTGTCGCCCGCTCTGACGGCAGCACCGTCACCTCCACCTCGCCGCCATCTCTCTTGTCCCCCACCACCGGGCCTACGTACCTCTCCTAAATTTTTCTCTAAGCCCACCGGAGATGGAGAAGAAGAGACGAAGAGGAAGAGAAGAATCGAGTGTTAGAACACTCGAGCAAGCGTTAGCTTTTCTGAGCAAGTCATTAATTTAATGCCATTTTCAATCATAATATTACAATTTTTACTATAAACACAAAACATTTGTATAAGCATTGAAAAGCTAATGAGACATTGATATATATATTTGTCAGACTTATGAGCTGCCATCACGTTTGCTCGACCCCTTTAATCAAAATTCTTGGTTGCACCACGGAATCCGTGGGCAAGGGCACCTCCCGCCCACGCTCACTCCTAGCTTTCTCTTGTTCGGTCTGTTCCTCGTTCAATGCAGCCGTTGATGTGGAGGAGCAGGACTCACAGTCAATAGCAACGCCCGAGGAGGAAGCTCCGAGGACTACAGCTCACGTGTAGCAATTTGGATGGGCTAACGGACTTTATGCTTTTTCTAAAATCATTCTCTATATTATATTGTCTAACCTAGCTCAAACATAGGGCATGGTTTAAAAAAATATGAAACTATTTTCATATTTTTTAAGTTAAAATAAAATTTCCATGGATTTTTAATATTCAATCAGATCTTTAGTATTTTCTAACTGCATATTTATCTAGAAAATATTAGAACATTTAAAAAAACTATATATTTTTATATTATAGTTGACGTTCAGTATAAGCCCTTGCCGATAGATGTTAGCTTTAACATGATCGATCGTAGTATGGCCCGTGGCCACTTCAGTAAAGCTCCGGTTGGTTTTAGCTCCTTGCAGGGGAGCTCACGGCAGCAGCTGCTCCTTTATACTCCCTCCGTCCCAAATCACAAGTCATTCTAACTTTTAAGAGTGAAAACATCTTAAGTTTGACCAAATTTATATAATAAAATAATAATATTTATGATACCAAATAGTATCATTAGATTCTTCATTAATTATATTTTTATATTAATACCTATTTGATGTCATAAATCTTTATAATGCTCTATATAATTTTGGTCAAACTTGAGATGCTTTGACTCTAAAAAAGTTGGAATGACTTGTAATTTGGAACGAAGTAGAACTCTAACCAGCTTTTACTCTATCTCCTATTCTCCTCCTAGAAACTGGTAAAGCCACTGTTTCTAGCTTCTTTCCTTCTAGAAACCGGTAAAACCACTATTTCTACCTTCTTAAAACCACTATTTCTAGCTTCGTCGGCTCTAGCAAGGAGCCTAGACCGTCTGAAGCTATGCAAACAGGGCCTGCATCCGAAAAGAAATATACTCTCCCCTGACTACAGACAGAGACCGGAGATGGTAGATCCCAAGAATAAAATCTTGATCGATCATTGTAACTCTATACTGCATTTTGAAACAAGCCGGGCGGAAGAGCTGGGATTCACAACTGTAGATCGCAAAATAAGAGAATGCAGGCTGTAGCTCTCTAAATATAAATTCAATCATCACCATGACGAAAAATATATACCAACTGAATCTGTAGCTCTCTCTAAATATAAATTCAACCATCACCATAACAGAAAAAAAATATATATACTGACTGAATCAATCACTACGCTTTTCTTCAGACATGAGCTGAGCATCAAGCGCAATGAAAGCAGAGGAGACGACCCAGAAACCTTCCACCACAATTCCACAAATAACAGGAAAAGGGATGTTCCACCCATGAAAAGATATTACATTCACCACCTACACTAGAAACATAAACCACTAAACCAGGTCACCAAACTGTACAGCTCTTCCGCAGGTGCCTTCTTTAGCATCCCAATAATCGACCAGGTGGCGGTATTCTTGCGATTCAGTGGCTCGTTACAAATGCCCAGAAAAGATTGTTCCTCCTCCAAAGTAACAGTATACTGATTTGGTATCTCCATCTTTTCTTTTGAAGGTCACTGGGGGGTGGGGGTTGAGGATCCCCACCTGAATTTGTATTGCTCATTCACTGCCTTGAGGCAGGAGGTGCTTACAAGTTAAAATGTACATCTTTGATCAAATGATCAGTTTCACAGAAAAAACAGAGGGGGGTTCATATTACATAGCTGCTGAGAAAACACCTATCCAGGCATCCGCAATTGCTCTATCTCTCTTAGGTAGTCGCATTCTCCACAGGTTTGCATCCGAAACGCAAAGCCACCAAAGTTTGACGTATAGGTGCAAGTTTGGTATCTTCATCTTGACCTTGGAGCATACACGACTGATTTCGTGTCTCCATCTTGGCCTTGGAGCATACAAGCAACCACTTTTTAGCATCAGCAGTTCAGCAACACAATGCTCCAGAGTATCCTCGTATCTGTCTGCATTCTGAAAAACGGAAGGCACCTTTTAGTCTCCACAACTCCGGCATGGTGGCAGAACAAACTAAACGGGAATAGTAATGCCTTTTTCTAAAGCAATCACTTATTAATAGACTCAAATTTCACACCAAACTCGCAAGCTCATTGTCATAGATTTCAGAAATGACAGACCAAGCATTCCCAGCAAAGTTTACCTATTCTTGGCACTTTCATGTCAATTGTCGGCACAAATAAAATGATATATACCGAATGAAGGACAACCAGATTACATCTTGGAGAGAGCAGAAAAAATTACAGGCTGTATAAGCCTATTGCCTTGACACTTTCAGGTAAACCAAACTTGAATTTCACCAGGATTCTGAGACTCTGAAATTAGAAGAAAGCTGCATGATTTCTTCATGCATGCTTGAACATCTTCATGCTTAGCCAGTGCAGATAGACAGCCACAATTATTACAGGAAGCGTCACCGGCACAAGTAGACAGTAATACCTGCAAAATTACGAAGAAGGCCAGTTAGGCAAATTCTTATATTAATTGCACAAGCTACGATGTTGCAAGGATCTCACTCTTTCAAGGGAAACAACAGCATAACATCTATAACCATAAAAAAAAAAAAAGTAACACTATTAGCTAATCCGATGTACCTAATTTACTAGCTAGCACAAAAGTGGACAACCTATACTCCAATGTCAATTTGCAAAAGAAATACAAGTAAACAGTCATCTGTCTTGCGTTGACGTTCCTTACCAATCGTTTTGGATGGCAGCCAGGAATCGATTTTCATATGGTGGAAGCAGCTTGGATACGATGGCAACATAGAAGAAACACACGAACAATGTGATCCCAAAAGCAATGAACGTCGACCCGATCAGCTCATCTCTAGAAAAATGCATCTCTGGATTCCCAATCTTTTGGCCTCTGATGTGCAGGCCGGCAGGGGCGGACCCAATAAATCCTGAAAAAAAAACGAAGTTAGTAGCTACCATACTTGTAACTGAGTCAGATCCGTTGGTTTGGGATGCTCGGTTTCGCACGGCAGAAAGGAAAAAGAGAAGGGGGCGGGCATACCCAGTGGCTGCTCGTAGCCGGCGAAGATCTGCGTAGGGCGGCAGCGAGACAGAGGTGGACGACGCGGAGCCGGGACACGGTCCGCTGCCGCGGGCCGGACCCGGAGGTGGGGTTGCTGCGGTAGGGGAAGCGGTGGTGGACTGGCGGTTGCCGAGGCTGGAGAAGGAGCACACCGAGGCGTTGGCCAGCAGCGCGGCCGCCTCGGCCAGGATCCGGTCACCGCCGACGTCGGTGGCCGCGAGGCAGCGGAGGAGCGTGTCTCCGGCGTCGAACTGAAACGCGCCTAGAGGGAGGGACAGGTGGCGGCGGAAGCCGAGGGACAGGAGGAGCGAGAGCGCGAGGAGAAAGATGACCGCTGGTGGGACCGCGGAGATCCTGGTCTGCCGAGTGGAGTCTCCCGCTGTAACTAGAAAGACGCGCGGCGTTGCCGCGCTCTTCGGTGAAGGGCTAGCTTGTACGTGCAAGCTCTGATCCGGTTTATTTTTAACCTGTCACTTTTCAGTCATATACTATTCATAACAAATTAACAGATAAGACAACCTGAATAGAAAGCTAAGTTGTTTGCTAATTTAGGAGGAAATGATAGAACAATGCTTATTATGCATTACAGAAGTTAGCAATGTTGTCACCCGCTAGTTCCGCTACTGATAACAATGGTCGCTATACATTTACTTTTGTTCAGGGCTAAATAGATGCTCTATCTGAGTAATTTAAGAATAGAGGGGAGGCGGATGATTTGCAACTTCTGGTAGTGATTTTCAGGGCTGAAATTAGATGATCTAG